TCCTTACGTGATTGCCATTAGTTATTGTGATACCAGTGAAACTACTAATGGTAGTGCTGTTTCTGGATTGCCACTGGAAAAATAACCTTGGGTTCGCTCATTAACACCTACTTATAAATCAATCCAGTTTATAACCTTGTCGAGCTCATTAAGTTCTTCCCTTTTTTCTTCTTTATTTAGAAAACCTTCCCATTCTGTTTGTTAGGTCAAGATTGAAGATTGAAATTAGACTACCATTACTTTTCGGGTATGACTTTGGGGCTGACTTTGAAATCCTTGGAAATGCTTGCCCTTGCAAAATTTCTTATCACAAAAACTCTGCAATCTTGATTAGAGCAGCAGTTATATGTGTTGTTCATTTCAATTTGCTGCAAGAGTAGTTTACCTTAAATTTTCAACTTCCAGCATTAAGGAAATTAGTAGAATTTGGAGAAAATGTTTATTTCAGATTCATGTTGTTGATAGAAGGTTCGTTTTTCTTTATATAGAAACTTGATATGGATATTACTCCATTTAGATGATTGCAATATATTTCTCTCATTACCTGGAACTGGAAACTTCTCTTCAATTAATGTTCTCACCGTCATTGCCAATACCAGTTAACATAATGTTCTTTTTTCTTTTTCATGAAATGACCATTATCCATCTAATGAAGAGAGTAAATGAAATTGAACCTGCCTAAATATCATTAAGCAAAGAAACAATAATTCTCTGCGTCTGATGGCCAATTTTTGCAGTTAAGTAGAGAATGTCATTAGTCTTTGTGGTTGCTGTCCTAAAGAACTATGTTAGCATGTCTTCGAGCTGCATCATTTTCAGAACATATAAATTTTTTTGAAAATATGAGATAGATACAAAATTCTGGCACTGAAACACAGTGGATTTTTTTCATCATATCCTTCTTTTATCTGACAAGCTATTCACCTAGTAAAAGTATACTATCTTCTTTACTGCCAACTGATTAAAAATGCTATAGGCGTAAGTGATTATGATTTATCCGTATGTACGCCATTGACCATAATTGTTACCTTTAA